TTATCATACAGATAATATACATAGAGAACCCCAAAAACTCCACAGAAAAACTAATTCAACTCATCAATCAGTTCAGCAAAGTGGCAGGATACAAAATCAACACGCAAAAGTCAGTAGCCTTCCTATACACAAACAATAAATCTGAAGAAGAAGAAATAAAAAAAAAACATCCCTTTTATTATCGAAACAAAAAAAATCAAATACTTGGGAATAAATCTAACAAAAGAGGTAAAGGACCTATACAAAGAAAACTATAAAAACTGTTAAAAGAAATAGAAGAAGACACAAAGAAATGGAAAGACATCCCCTGCTCATGGATTGGAAGAATAAACATTATTAAAATGGCCATCCTACCAAAAGCAATATACAGATTCAATGCTATTCCAATCAAAATTTCAATGTCATTCTTCAAAGAAATAGAACAAATGCTGATGAAATTCATATGGAATCACAAAAAACCCCGAATAGCCAAAGCTCTCCTGAAAAAAAAAAGAAGGGAATGGAGGCATCACACTCCCAGACTTCAAACTATACTACAAAGCCATAATCATCAAAACTGCATGGTATTGGAACAAGAACAAACACACAGACCAATGGGATTGAATAGAAAATCCAGAAATAAACCCACAGATTTATGGTCAACTAATCTTTGACAAAGGAGCAAAGACTATGCATTGGAGCAAAGAAAGTTTGTTCAATAAATGGTGCTGGGAAAACTGGGTTGCTACATGCAAAAGAATGAAGCTTGACCATTACCTCACACCATACACAAAAATCAACTCAAAATGGATTAAAGAACTATACATAAGACCTGAAACCATAAAATAAATAGAAGGAAATATAGGCAAAACACTACGTGATTTGCACATCAAAGACATCTTTACAGACACATCACCCAAAGCAGTGATAGTGAAGGCAAAGATAAACAGCTGGGACTACATCAAATTAAAGAGCTTCTGCACAGCAAAAGAGACAATAACAAAAACAAAGAGAAACCCCACCGACTGGGAGAACATTTTTGCACACAACACTAATGATAAAGGACTGATCACAAAAATCTGCAAAGAGCTGATGAGACTCAACAACACAAAGAAAATAATCCAGTCAAAAAATGGGCAGAAGAGCTAAAAAGAAATTTCTCTGAAGAGGAAATGCAAATGGCCAACAGGCATATGAAAAAATGTTCAACATCACTTGTAATCAGGGAAATGCAAATCAAAACTACCATGAGATACCATCTTACACCAGTGAGAATGGCACATATTAAAAAAACTAGCAACAACAAATGTTGGCAAGGGTGTGGAGAAAAAGGAACTCTCCTGCACTGCTGGTGGGAGTGCAAACTGGTCCAACCACTATGGAGAGCTGTGTGGAGATTTCTGGACCTACTAAACATAGAGCTTCCATATGATCCAGCAATTCCACTCCTAGGTATTTACCCAAAGAACACAGAAACATCAATTCCAAAGAACACCTGCACCCCTATGTTTATAGCAGCACTGTTTACAATAGCTAAGCTTTGGAAACAGCCCAAATGCCCAAAAATAGATGACTGGATCAAGAAGATGTGGTACATATACACCATGGAATATTACTCAGCATTCAAAAAAGATAAACACATGCAATTTGCAGCAACATGGATGGTGCTGGAAGGGATCATGCTCAGCGAAATAAGCCAGAAAGAAAAAGAAAAATACCAGATGGTCTCACTCATAGCAGGAATCTAGAAAACTTGAATAAGGGACCAGGAAATGAATAACTATAAGAAAGTGAAAATCAAAATCAACAAAAAACTATGAACCAGAGACACTTTTTGGGGGGGGGGGTGGGAGGGGAGGGATTGGGGTCAAAATGGGGGGTTGCAATTATTTGGGGAATATAAAAATAAAATCTATTATTTAAAAAAAATAAAATTATCATACAGCCAATGTGGATTATTTTTGTTTCTCATGGATGCTATCAAATTTGTAGCTCTCCATTATTGTACAGACACCTTCAGTTCACCTTATTTTTAGTTACTTATATCTTAGTCTCCCTTTGAGATTTATCATGTTCAAGAGATTGTTTCTGAGCCCTCTGGTTATGATTCCATCTCCCCAGTAACTTACGGATCAATCACAGGTCCCTATTGCTACATACCCAGACTGCTCTTCTGATGACAATTTCTCTGAAGCAAAGGCTGTAGTTGAGAATTTCAAATTTGCACCAGTGCTAAGGGTTGGTACCCATTATGTAGTACTTGGAGACTTAAACTGGAATTTCAGTGTGTGTGTGTGCGTGTGTGAGATAATGGTAGTGATCCCAAAGGGAGTGATAGTATCATTTTTTGCAATTATGCTTGACTCAACATCTCCAAATTATTCTCTTATGAAATAACTTTAATATCTACTCTATAGTACTGATCTCCTGAGCTTCTCATTCCTTTGGGAGTTGACTCTCATTTACACAACAAGCCTTTAGAAAAAAACCCTGCCTGCTGTGTACTGTGTAGAGTTGAGTGAATGAACTCCTTTTTAAAGAGCTGTTGGAAGTTCCAGTCTTCAAGATTGTATCACTATAACATTTATCCTCTTAGACATCTGAAGAATCTGGGGATTATCATGTATGTACATATGTAGGGTAATTCACTTTTAAATCAGGGCATGCATTTCACTTTGACATAAGTAGCAAAGAGTATAGAGGGCATATTTCTTTAAACAGGTAAGTTATTTCTTAAATTGTCTCCAGGAGACCAGATATGGAAAATGATGGGAAAACATCATCTCTGAGCTTTCTTTGAAGAATAATTGGTACAAGTAGAATATTTAGTCTATGTCTTTGTTTTAAAGGACTTAGCTTGAATGTACACTTTGGTTGAATTTTGTGTTTTATATAGAGATACTTATATAGAGATACTTTTATATAGAGCTGCCAGATTTATGGACTCTTAAAGTATTAATACTAAGAGGTCTTGAATCCTCTGGGTGTTAATTTCTTAGCTTTTTCCTATTTTGAGTATTATAAATAGAAAACTAACCTGAATGAGTTGAACACTTAGGCTACTCTTTCCTGAAGTCTCATGTACATCTACAGTCAAGATTGTTCCCTAATCTTTTTACTGGGGGGAAGTGAAGTAATAGGCCTTCACAGTCAGAAACTATTGTTTTCTCATAATTGTTTGAATTGATTGATGGTTATATTCTAGTTTGATCCTTATAGAAATTGTTTTTATAGCCTTAATTATTACAGCACTTAAAGTGATTTGTTACCATCTTCCTTGAGTAATAACAAATATGAGCTTAAGACCTGTAATGAATTTCTATGATTATCAAATATTAAATTCTTGAATCATTTCACTACTAAGATATAGCTTTTCCAAATAATCTTCAATTTCACACTTGCTTTTTTTTTAACCTTAAGATCACATGAGGCCAAAGACTTTTCATTAACTTCCTGTTAAGCAAAAACACTTTTCAAGATTTCTTGTCAGGGAGACTGTTATTAGACAGCTGTGGATGTTTCTCCAGCTGCACATCCCATTCATAGTTTGTTTGGACTCATTATGACATTTCAAGATCCAAAATGTAGGCTTCTCTTCTTCAATTTTCCTTCTTATATTTTTCTTATTTTCCCATTTTTTCCACTTTCCAATCACTCTTTTACTAAAAAATAACTTTTTATTGAAATAAAGATTCATGTGATGCTTTAAAGATAGGACAGAGAGATCCCACATGTCCTTTATCCAGGTTTTCTGAGTGGCTTTATCTTGTCAACCTCAGTACAACTTAAAACTAGGAAATTGACATTGGCATGACCTGTGTGTATTGTTCTATATCATTATATCACATGTGTAGATTTGTTTAACCATTACCATAATCAGGAAATAAAATTATCCAATCTCCACAAAGATTGCCAGTGTACTACCCTTTTGTAGTCACACCACCACAATACTTCCCACACCATTCCTAATCTTAGGCAAACACTAACCTATTCACCATCTCTATGGTGTTGAACATTATGAGACATTTACATAAATGGAATTATAGTATATGTGACCTTTTGAGATTGGCTCTTTTCAACTGAGTCTAATGGCCAAACACCCATCCAAGTTGTTGTGTAGATCATATCTTGGTGTTCTTTATTGTTGAATAGGATTCTTTATTATGGATATACATCAGTTTGTTTAACCACTCACCTACTGTGGGATCATTTTGTTTGTTTCCAGTATATGGCCATCAAGAATAAAAACTTCTATGAACAAAATTGTACAGGCCTTTGTGTGGACATATGTTTTCATTTCTCTGGGCTAAATACCCCTTTCATCCTTAAATTGTTGATTTTATTTCCCAGCTTCTAATAGCACTCAGTTGGTTATAACACCTACTTGGTATTTAAGAACTGTTTTTTTATGGACTAAAATTTTGATAATATCAGCAGAATATACATTAGTAATAAGAGAAATAGGTATTATGGAGAAGGTACCACAGAGGAGATACTGCTGAAGATTTTGATTCCTGTTCCAAAGCCAACTTCCATGGTCTGATCTTTTACTCCTTAGACATTAGGAATTTTCACAACTGATGAGAATCTAAAAGAATTCATTTTTAGGCAGGTTGGAATCAGCTAGAATAAATCAGATACACATACTATCTTTTTTTAATGAAAATTTTATATACTTAGTTCAAAGGCAGGGATTTTAAGAAATATACAGTGGCACAGTTAGAGGATTTGTCTTTGATAATCTCCAAAGGTCATGGCTAGGTTTAAAATTCTGATTTTTTTTCAAAAATCTTTTTCTGATCAAGCAAAAAACTGAAGACCCAGTAAGGTTTAATGACTTACTCAGCGTCACTCAGATGGTAGTTAAGATGATCACCAGTAGAATCCAAGTCTTATCTCTCAGCCCACAGTATGAAACTTAAAAATAAGTCAAATTCATTCTTTAAATTAAGAAACACCTAACTATAAATTGATTGCAAAGAAAAATATTTCTTTTCCTCATTACAGATTAAATCAGAGAAATGGATTACAGGAATCACACTGTGGTTATGGAGTTTTTTTTCGTGGGTTTAACAAATATCTTTCAGCACCAGATTGTTCTCTTTGTGATATTTCTCTTGGTTTACCTTGTTACCCTTCTGGGCAACGTGGGGATGATCACCCTCATTTGGATGGATTCTCGACTCCATACACCCATGTACTTTTTCCTCAGCCACTTGTCTTTTGTGGATGTCTGTTCCTCTTCTGTCATTGGGCCCAAGATGTTGACTGACATCTTTGTGGTGAAAAAGGTAATCTCTTTCTTTGGTTGTGCTGCCCAGATCTGGCTTTTTGGTCAGTTTGTAGTGACTGAATGCTTCCTCCTGGCTTCCATGGCATATGATCGGTACATGGCCATCAGTAAGCCCTTGCTGTATACACTCATCATGTCCCGGAAGGTCTGTGTGCAGCTGGTCATAGGACCTTATGCCCTGGGCCTTATCAGCACCATGACCCACACAACATTCACCTTTCGCCTACCCTATTGTGGTCCGAATATCATCAATCACTTCTTCTGTGACCTTCTTCCTGTTCTCTCCCTGGCATGTGGAGATACACATGTAAATAAATTTTTACTTTTCATTTTGGCTGGAGCTCTAGGGGTACTCAGTGGGGTGATCATCCTGGTCTCCTACATTTACATTGTTGTTGCTATAATGAGGATCCGCTCTGCTGATGGGAGGTGCAAAGCCTTTTCCACCTGCTCTTCTCACCTGACAGCTGTCTCCATCCTTTATGGGATCCTCTTCTTTATCTATGTACGTCCAAGTTCTAGTTTTTCCTTGGATATCAATAAAGTAGTTTCTGTATTCTACACAACTGTGATTCCTATGTTGAACCCACTTATCTATAGCCTGAGAAACAAGGAAGTCAAAGATTCTTTCAGAAGGATGTTTGAAAGGAAGAAATTTCTTATGAATAAATAAACTAGAGTATCATTTGTGCTACAGATTGGGGTGTAATGCATTATGGGGGAAAGAACTGGGGGCTGGGAGATGGGAACCCTACATTAAAAGTGAAATTTCATCTTTATTACTCTGTATATAATTGATGTCACACAACATCTTGAAGATACAATTTTCTCTCTCCATTTTTGTATATCTCATTTAGCTGTGAAACTGTGAATAATGGGTTATAGAATCCAAAACTTCAGAAAATACTCTTAGGCTTTTGTGGAAAATGAGAGGTACTTAGTTATATTTGAAATAAATGGAAAAAAAAACCTCAACCAGTGAATTTAATGGTACCTCTGTTTTGCTCACTTGGCTATGAACTTGACCTCGACTCTTTCTTTTATAATTGTATCATTTCTTTGTTGAGGTAACATTGATTTACAACACTATATATAATTTAGGGGAATAGATTGGTTTTTCAGATGTATGTTACCATATCACACCCACCACCAATGATCCACACTCCTCCACCACTGTCCGTACTTTTACCCTTTGCTTCCACCTCCTACCCTCCCCTCTGGTAGCCTCTGCAGTCATATTTTTAGGGTTTGTTTGGCTTAGTTCTGTCTGCTCCTATGTTTTGTTTCTATGTGTGGAATATAAAGAAACAAGACCTTGAGTCTTTTAATAAAAAATTATTATAAAAGATAGTATGTAACTATCATACTATCTAATGACACCTTCATGTTTGGAGCAGACATTTGACAAAGTTTTATTGTTCTTACTATGCTTTCTGCTGATAGTAACAACTGGTTGGGATTTTGCCACTGTAGTAATGTGGTTCATGCTTGTAAAATGCAGAATGCCTAATAGTTCTTTCATAAAGTGGTGAGTATTACTATTATTTATTATTTTTTATGCTGTAGGCAGTGAATTAATTTTCATTAATTTTAGGTCATTAGAAGAACAATTGGATTATTCATAGCCACATAATTTATTCTTACATTTTCTTTTCTCCAGGCACAATTTTCTTTCAGCTATCCCTCTATGTCTCCTTTTTTGGACACAATAAATGATCAAAAGATGAGGTGATGAAACATGTGTCTTGTTCAAATTTAAGACTGAGAGTTAAACTGTCTTATCTTCAAGGTATTCTATAAAAGGAATTTAATTTCAGCCCACTGACTGTGAAAACTGTAAATAGTCTCTAACACCCTAGAATTTATCCCCCTGAGTTTCTTCACTATGCTTTTTGCCAGTGTTATATTTAATGAGTCAGGGCAAGATGCAGTAAGATACCATTCAATTAGGAGTGAATGGGAGTCAGAAAGTACTGCAATGGTTACTTAACAAAATGATTTCCTTTATATGCGGAATATAGAGAAACCACATAAAGGGTCAGACAAGGATAGACTTTAAAACCGAAACCTTATGCCCAAAAATAGATGACTGGATCAAGAAGATGTGGTACATATATACCATGGAATATTACTCAGCATTCAAAAAAGATAAACACATGCAATTTGCAGCAACATGGATGGCACTGGAAGGGATCATGCTCAGCGAAATAAGCCAAAAGAAAAGAAAATACCGGATGGTCTCACTCATAGCAGGAATCTAGAAAACTTAAATAAGGACCAGGAAAATGAATATAAGAAAGTGAAAATCAAAATCAACAAAAACTATGAACCAGAGACACTTTTTGGGGGTGGGGGTGGGAGGGGAGGATTGGGGTCAGAATGGGGCGTTTGCAATTGTATGGGGGAATATAAAAATAAAATTTAATATTAAAAAATATAAATAAAATAAAATAAATTGAAAAAAAAAAAAAAACCGAAACCTTAAAGCTGACTATAGATCTGAGGCATCCAGGTGGGGAAGGGATAGGTGAGAACAGGTAGTGGGGGTAGGAGGCGAGCAGAGTGGACTAGAGTGGAGGATTGTGGGTTCTTTGGTGGTGAGAGCTACAGTGAGTGCACCCGAGGGGAGAAATCCTATACTGTCAAGAAATTAACAAGGATATAAAACAATGGTACGTCATAAAAAAATTAATAAAATTTCAAGTGTGCCTCTTAGGTGCTTGCTATTTTATTGGTTGCTACTAAGTGAGTTAGATGTGCATAGTAATTTATGTGACAAAAACATTCTAGGTGTCAAGAGGAAGTAGAAGGGGATATTTAGGAAGGATGGCAAGAAAAGCCTCTGCAGAGAGAATGGGGTGGGAAGATGAAGATGTTCTGCTGTGTGTTAATGCTTTCTATGGAGTGTGGATGCCCAATGTGGATCCTGTAATGAGCAAGGGGATTCCAAGGCAGAGGGCAGAGTTTGCAAGCTGATTTATTCTGGTCCTCAGGCTAAATTTCTTCACTCCTTTATATGATACAGGTTTTAGGACCCAAGAATACTGAGAGAGGATATTATGTAAGGCTTTGGTGGGAGAGGGATTTTCTATGATTTGTATGAGTGCTAATAAATGACATTTGAGAAAAGGTTAAGATATTCATAGCTTTTCTTGAGGTGGCTCTTCGCTGTAGAAGTTAAGATCTTAGACATTTGATGTTAGGTTTGTTGTGGTCTATTTCCTGGCTCCTTTGCATCCCCACGGACTGTGGAAATAAAAGAAGTCAAAACCTGGACAAATTATCTTAGTACTTAACACAGTTTGATCTGGATTTTTAAAAAATCACCGTATGGGGCCCAGTGCTGTACACCGCCCAGGGGCTTCTGTGAGATTTCTTCAGTCATTTTGGGTCAGACTTGCTCTTTCTTTCCCTTTTTTTTTTAAGATTTATTTATTTATTTATATAAGCACTGGGTACGGTCAGAAGCACGGGAGTGTGAGAGAATTCACCAGAGCCAGAACAGGGAACAGAACAGGCAGACTGACGAAATACACTGCTCAGGGGAGCAGCAGGCAGCAGGAGAGGTCTGTGCGCCATATGGGACCCTCACCGGCGGCCGGGGATCGAACCGGCGCTGCAGAGGCTGTGGGCAGCTTCACAGCCCAGTGCTCAACCGCTGCGCCACCAGGGAGACCCCAGACTTGCTCTTTCTATTCCCTGTTTCCTCATCTTAGAACAGTTTAGAGTGCGCTCTACTTCTGCTTCATGGTCAATTTATCAAAGAGGCATCTAGAGCTCTTTACCTAAAATAACTCTCTGCTCCTATTGCCACAGACATTTACTTTTTTAAAAATTAGCTTTTTGAAGCACTGGAAAACACCCAAATATTACTTATTGATGTGCTCCATTCTTGTATGTTTCTCCCCATGGAAGATAAGATTCATGAAAGAAAGATGTTTACGTTCACTGCTTTTGGACAGATCCATAGTTTGGCATATTTGTTGATTAAACAATGACTGTACTGTTAATACTGTATGATTTATTTGATGGACATTGTAGTTTGAGATCTATGACATGGAAGAGATGGTGCTTGATTTCACAATAATCCTCTCCGAAATTTTGGATTTACATGTTTATTTTTCCAGGCAAAAAGGAACCAAATGACTTAAAAATGTATCATTTAGTATAATTCTGATAAGATTTTATAAAACTGTGTCATTAAAGCAAGAGTTTGGTGTAAAGTAATTGAAGCAATTACTTCTGCTTTATCATGGCATGTGCTTTGGAAAGAGAGAAGTTGACTGATCCTACTAACCAGTTTCTGTTAATGTTAGTATATTTTCATTTGGAAATGATACACTTTGAATGAATTGGTTTGACCACAAGGCTCTTCTTTGTATTGTTATTTTTGCCACATTGAGCTACAACTGATAACAATGGGTTATCAGATCCCATTCAAATTATGTATGCAATTTCTCATGAAAAAAATCTATATTAACATAATATAAATCTTGCACTCATACTGATTCTTAGTGATTTGCCTATCAGTATCTAAAAAGTTGCTAAACTATCCCAGTGCCAAGTAAGATGTCCTCATAGGCAATCTTTTTTTTATTTTATCTTTTTAAGATTTATTTTATTTATGTACGCATACAAGAACTACAGTACAGGCCAGAGGTTGGGGGGCAGTGAGAGGATTCACAAGAGACAGAGTGGGGAGCAGAACAGGCAGATATACTGAAATACACTGCTGAGGGGAGCAGCAGGTGAGACAGAAGAGGCTTGCTGCACCAGGTGGGCCTAGTTTCCTGGCTGGGAACCGAACACTTGCTCCTGCTGCTGTGGCTGCAGACAGCTTCATAGTGCTGAGACCTAACCCCTTGAGCCACCAGGGAGGCCCTGGAGCAAAACATTTTAATTTGCTTCCCGTTTAACAATAACATTCCCAAGATATGGCTTACTTTAGGGACATAAATTCTCCCAGAACAAAAAAATGGTAATTACTTCTGGAAACTTTAATCCACACAAAGATAATTTATTTCAGAGTGGAATCTTATGAGTTCCTTGGGGAGAAAACAGAGAATAAAACCAAGTGAGTCCTAGAAGATCTGCCCTCACCTCTCTGCAGAGGCACCAGCAGGGGTAGGAAGATGGGAGAAGTGTGCTGAAAATATGGGCAGTTTACATTCTATTTTAGTTTTAACTCTCTAAAGACGAAAGGAACTCATTGGAATGTAAGTTTAGATAATTTTTTATCCATTTCTGCTCCTTTGTTTACTCTTCAAGGAGTTCCAAATGTGTTAAATGCATTTATGGGAAAGAAGAAAATGACTGAAATTTAAAATGTGTTGATTTGGTTTGCAGAGAAATATCAACTGTCAGTTCATCACTGGTTAGAATGTTGCACCAGATCCAATAAGCAGTAATGTGTAATCTAATCTGCACAAGGAAATAAGAACCTTATTACCCTACCACAAATGAAATCACTCTTTAAGTCCAGGGACTGTGTTGTGAACTCCTAAACAGGACAGAGACCAGGCCACCCACTCCAGGTGTGGTGCCATCTGTAGGGAATGCTGCATGGGGTTATCAGCTCACATTCAAAGCTTGGGATGCTAAGGTTAAGGAGGGAGCTGTAAATGAGACCAATAACTGCAGATGTTTGAGAGTCTCCTACTTGAGTAAACTTGGGACTCTGCAGTTTTCTCTGGGACTTCATTGCTTTCTTTGTAATGAATAACCCCTTCAGTGTTAAATGTGCATTTGGGCAATGACTGCATATCCCACAAAGAATATGTAGAATTGAAGGGAGCATTGAGGAATCTAAGGTTTCCTCTTGGGACAGTAATGACATTTAAAGAAGAAAGACTTTGAGACTGAACTCAGATGAGACAACATCTGAGATTCTGGCTTGGCCCTTCAGCCAACACTTTTTACACTAACACCTCGACTGTCTGCTTTGTAAAGTGGGGAGGACAAGATCTTCCTTACCTAGGCTTGGGTGGAAGTCAGATGGGCTTATTTTTGCAAAGCATTTGGGGCAAAACCTAGCGAGTCTTGAATACAAGAGGGTGTTGCTTCTCCCATAGTTATTGTCACCTCAAATGTATCATGAAGTCAGTCATGCATTTCAGCACTGCATGGTGGAAAGACCATGGTGTGTGGTCTTGGGTCAGACATCTTGGATGCAGATTTCTTATTTACAAAAGTTGAGGATGGGGCAAGAGTTTTTCAGACTCTTTGCATTTTAGAAGTAGAACCCAAATTCATAGTTTGCAATTATTTCTCACTTTCTCCCTCCTAGATTTCCCAGATTTCTTGTCTATTACTCCTATCCCAAATTGATGGTAGCTATTTTCCATTCTTCTTTTTTTTAAATGCTGCCATACCTTAGGAAATTTAAATTTGGGGGGGCTTTTTTAGATTACTTTAATTACAAACATAATGGAGATATAACAAAATCTTGTAATTCCTGTAACAAAATATTAAAATGGCAGGTAAATTTAAAGTCCCCTTTGATTACTCACCTGCATACCAGTTCATTCTTCATTTGTTCTCAGAGATAATGATTAATCATTTGGCATATGACCTTCTACAATCTGTTATTTTGGTCACATAGACACACATTTAAATAACTGCAGTTAAAAAATATTGAGACTTAATAAATGTCTTTAATATACTGTATACAAAATTTTATAACTTGCTTCTCCTTCTTATATCTTGGAAAAATAACCATGTTTGTAGAATTACCCAATTTTAAACTCCTGTATAGTATTCCACATAATGACTATGCTAAAGTTTAACTTGCTGTTACTCTTTTGGAGATTATCTACGTGAATTTCAATTTTAAACAATGGTGAAAGGAACATTATGTTTTTTCCAGTCTGTGTTTCCTCAGGAGGATAAAATGGAATGGATTTTCTGAATGGTCAGGTTTGCTCTTTTTTAAAAAAACTCAAGAGACAGTAAAAAAAAAAAAATGCTTTCTAGAGGTCCAGCCCCCTGCAGTGTGAGTGGTTACCATCTCCTCTTACAGCCTCATTAGCTTTTTATTTTCATATTTCTTAATATTTTGTCAATTTGTGGGTGAAAATATGTCATTATTTCAATCTGGCATCCAAGGTTATTTGGGAGTTAAGCAGTTTTTCATGTTTACAGCTACTAAATGCTGTCTTTTTGGCACATGATTATGTATCTTTGCTAGTCATAGCTGTGAGTGTTATTTTAATTGATGATTTGTGGTAATTATCTGAGTATTCTGATTTAAAATCTGTTGTAACTTATGTTTTCATGTTTTTTCTCAATATGTGTATACTAATTTTATATTCAGTGTACTTTGGCATCCATTCATTTATAATTATGATATAGTAACATTTTCCAACTATTTCTTCAGGTAGCTTTTGTGTCCTGCTTACGAGACCATCCTTACAGCAAATCATACCATTCTTTAGTATTTTCTTGTCATAGACTTATAGTTAGGATTTTTTTACTTTAAGGACTGTGGGGGGTAGAATTGTAATATTATTTTTCTCAGATGGTCATCCAAATAGTGTAATAATTTTTTTTTTTAATGAGTAAGTCATCTTTACTTTCCTGCTTGAAGTAACACATTTATTCATACTAAGTTGGCATCTATGCCTAGGTCTGCTTCTTGTTTTTGCAATTTTTCTGTCCTTGTCTATTCATCTTTTCATCTATTAACACCACCTTATTTATAATAGTTTATTTGCTGACATCTGAAAAGAACATCTTTTTGCTTTGTCTTTTTTGAAATCATCTTGGCTATGTTTGAACATTTTTTTCTCATCCATAGATTACTCTTTTCTTAAAAATTATATTTAGATTTTGGTTGAAGTTTTCTAAAATTTACCAAGTAATTTAATGGCTGTCTTAACCCAATCATCTTTAAGCAACCAGAAGCCAGTCTGAGTTTTCTAAGAAATGTACATGTGTATGCAGTATTAATTCTCTGTTTTCTCACTATAGAGACCCAAACTAATCAATGGCTGATGAAAACTACACAAGTATCACAGAGTTTATTTTTGTAGGTTTAAAGTACCATCCTCAGTTGCAAGTCTTCCTTTTCTTGCTCTTTTTACTGTTTTACCTCGTTACTATGACAGGAAACTTGGGCATGATAATCCTCATTCGCATCGATGCCCGCCTTCACACACCCATGTACTTTTTCCTCAGCCACTTATCCTTTGTGGACATCTGCTTTTCGTCAGTTGTGGGTCCCAAGATGCTCACTGATTTCTTTGCGGAAAAGAAAACCATCTCTTTCGTGGGATGCATCCTACAGCAGTGGTTCTTCGGGTTCTTTGTGGCCATCGAGTGTCTCCTCCTGGCGTCCATGGCCTACGACCGTTACGTGGCCATCTGTAACCCTCTACTGTACTCGGTGGCCATGTCCCGGCGACTCTGCGTCCAGCTGGTGGTTGGACCCTACACCGTTGGGTTCCTGAACACCATGACGCACACCACAGCTGCCTTTAGACTTCCCTTTTGTCGCTCCAATGTCATCAACCACTTCTTCTGTGACATGTCCCCCATCCTTTCTCTCGTGTGTGCTGACATCCGGATCAACAAGCTGTTAGTTTTCATTGTGGCGGGAGCTGTGCTAATTGTCAGTAGCTTGACCATCATCATCTCCTACTTTTTCATCCTCATCGCCATCCTGAGGATCCGCTCTGCGGAGGGGCGGCGCAAAGCCTTCTCCACCTGCTCTTCTCATATCACGGCTGTGTCCATCCTCTATGGGACGCTCTTTTTTATTTATGTGAGGCCAGGTGCCATTTTCTCTCTGGACCTCAATAAAATGGTGTCTGTGTTCTACACAGCAGTCATCCCCATGTTGAATCCCCTCATCTACAGCCTGAGAAATAAAGAGGTGAAAGCCGCCATGCTAAGGACCATCTCCAGGAGGAAGTTTTGCTTAGGAAGTTAAATTCCCACCTAGAGTAGAAGATAGATGAAAGGTAAAGCTTCCAGACTTGCTTGGATTATCTGGATATCATTGAAAGATTCTAAATAATTAACAGAATTTGGGGGATCACATCCTTCCATTCTTTTATATGACATTTTTTCAGGACTCATTCTTTTCCTTAAGCTTCATTTCAGCATGTCCTTGGAGATGATAAAAGTCCCCAGTGAGCCATAGGTTCAGAGCCACTTGGCTTTGTGAAACATCTTCATTTCTAGGAATATGGTAGCATCTAATAACTTTGAAACCTCCTAGCTACTAATACTTTCCTACTAGTTAGAGCAATGTAAATATCCACACCAGGGAACATCCGTTGGACTAATACATATGCCCCCATCCCTATAAAAACAGAATTGAAAATATCAAACAGAACAGGTTACTTAGCTAACAAGTGATTTTTTGAACTAAAGGAATTCCACATATCATATTTCTTTCAATATATTCAACATATAATCTTTATTAAATATTTAATATAGTATTTTATTCTTGTATTTAAAAAATACATCGTCATGATCATTGCACAATAAAAGGAAATGCAATCAAGTAAAACCTAACAACATTAACAACAGAAATCTTATATTCTTACTCTTTCACCAAGTGACAGCCTCTGATAACAATTTCCAAATGCCTCTCTATATATTTGAACTATCAGTTATTCCAGTAATTACATTGATAGCTAGCATTTAACTGGTTCTCTCAGATAAAAGAAAAGGATAGTTTAATAGAGAAATTGGGAAAAATGGAAAATAGAGAATGAGAATTTTTTTTTTAAATCAGAGGTAATAGGTATTAGAAACTGAGAGGCAAACTAAAATGCAGAAAATTTTATCTTATATTCATGTTAGTCTTTTTTGTGTTTTCCAAATTAAAAGAAATAAAATTGACTGGATGACTATAATACAATACAATGGGATAGATGCCATGTCATAAGATTGGATGTAAGTTTTATGCTACTGCATTTAGGAACACCATCATATTTCCTCACAGCTATTGATTCCCAATTATTTTCCAGTATCATTTCTGAGACTTCTCCTTACTATTAACCATCAAATATTCTGACACCTCACCCAACATATTTTTACTTAAAATCTTTAATTATGGAAGTTTTACACATTAGAATCAGAATAGTATAATGAATTTACATGTCCCCAACATCTGGGTTGTTACTCCTTCTCCTGTGCCTGGAGTTATAGCACATTTAGTCACCCAACCATCTGCATTTTCTTGATTTACTGCCTCCTGCCATGGTTGGAATCCACTCTCCTGCTATATGGCACAGCCTTCTTTTTTCAGTTTAGTGGTTTTGATGCTGGATGGGAATTTCTTCTATATCTATTACTTAGTCCTGCAAATTTTCCTGTATTTCTCTAATAGAGTGAATCGTTTGACCTACGTCCCATTACCAATAGGCATCTTTAAAGAGGGAGAGTTTTTTCAAAACCTAAATTCATATTCACACTAGAAAACGGGGGGGGGGGAAATGAGCTTCCATGCAAGGCAGAGGGCTAGGTCTGTTCCTATCATTCTAGGTCATGTAGCAAAGCTTCTAGATGGATGGATATGGCTGCCTGATCAGAATTTACTATCCCACCATTTTGGAGCACACCCATATTCTCTCATTTCCCAGGAAAAGCATAATAAAAGTTAAATGTACTCAGCAAGTCAAATTCTGCTTCCAGGAGATTTTTCTTCATCTTGACTTTGTACCACATGCATTTCCTCAAGGTCTTGTTAACAGACCTCTGTTTCCAAGGAAGATTCTAGAGCATTTCTTGGTCCCATGCCCCTTCCCAATAAGTTTTTTTTTTGTGGTAAATTATCTAATTTCTAAGTTTAGTGCCTGAGGGTTCACTCACAAATCTGACCTCTTCTATCTATGATTATACCAGAAAAAATATGCAACAGTTAAAACAATGTTTTCCCTGGGATGAGTGAAATGGCAGGCTATCTCAGAAGCAATCTGGGAGAGGAGTAGTTCTAAAAGAGTAAGGTCAAGGAATTCATCCATTGTCTTCCAGTGACCACTCAATTCTTAACAGTAATTGATCCAAATCATAGCCCTGAGAAACAGTAGTGATGAGAGAAATGTATGGGACACTTATCTGGAGAGACTTGCATGATAAGCTTCATCACATCTCATGGCTCACTCAAAGGAGGAAGGTTTTATAATCAATTTAAGAGAGAATTACTGGTCAAGAACAGAGATACAGAGTTGCTCATAAGTCCCTGTGCATTTAAAATATCTCTTGATGCAGAACTCAACCTTTAGAATGAAGATGGTATTACCAAGTCTTCAGGTTTCCAAGGTTCCCTGAATTACATTGGAATTATTGTGTAGACACTGTACTTTTGCCAAGGGTCTTGGTCCAAGGAGTGGGCGATTGTACTCGTTTAGATGTAACTTACCATCTGAATTCGGGATAATGTGTCAGTCATTGCAATCTCACTGACTCTCAAGTGAGCAATTCCCGAGTCCAATATAATGGAGTTGAAGGCAATCTCATGGTGCTGTCTGGAACCTAGCAAGAGATCCTGCTGGGTGTGGTAAGAGACACTGTATCCTCCTACAGTTTTCAGAAATTACTTTCCTAACTCTTTTACCACTTTTTTTTTTTAAATGAGGAGGCATAACTTTTTTTTTAATTGACAGGATGTTTCAACTTACTTAGGTTATTATATAATTTGATATCTACATTGAATCAAAAAGTATTTGAAATAGTAAGGCTATAATCTATACATTCCTAAAACTTTACAATATTGATGTTGTTTCCTAGGAAAAATTATAACAACATATTCTGCAGGCAAAGATTTCAAATCATTATAGAATATTTAGAAAGTTTTATTTTTTTTTTTTTATTTTTTTTTTTTTAAATATTAAATTTTATTTTTATTATTCCCCCATACAATTGCAAACGCCCCATTCTGACCCCAATCCTTCCCCTCCCGCCCCCCACCCCCCAAAAAGTGTCTCTGGTTCATAGTTTTTTTGTTGATTTTGATTTTCACTTTCTTATATTCATTTCCTGGTCCCTTATTTAAGTTTTCTAGATTCCTGCTATGAGTGAGACCATCCGGTATTTTTCTTTTTCTTTTTGGCTTATTTCGCTGAGCATGATCCCTTCCAGCGCCATCCATGTTGCTGCAAATTGCATGTGTTTATCTTTTTTGAATGCTGAGTAATATTCCATGGTATATATGTACCACATCTTCTTGATCCAGTCATCTATTTTTGGGCATTTGGGTTGTTTCCAAAGCTTAGCTATGTAAACAGTGCTGCTATAAACATAGGAGTGCAGGTGCTCTTTGGAATTGATGTTTCTGTGTCCTTTGGGTAAATACCTAGGAGTGGAATTGCTGGATCATATGGAAGCTCTATGTTTAGTAGGTCCAGAAATCTCCACACAGCTCTCCATAGTGGTTGGACCAGTTTGCACTCCCACCAACAGTGCACAAGAGTTCCTTTTTCTCCACATCCTCGCCAACATTTGTTGTTGCTAGTTTTTTTAATATGTGCCATTCTCACTGGTGTGAGATGGTATCTCATGGTAGTTTTGATTTGCATTTCCCTGATTACAAGTGATGTTGAACATTTTTTCATATGTCTGTTGGCCATTTTCATTTCCTCTTCAGAGAAGTTTCTTTTTAGCTCTTCTGCCCATTTTTTGACTGGATTATTTTCTTTGTTGTTGCTGAGTCTCATCAGCTCTTTGCAGATTTTTGTGATCAGTCCTTTATCATTAGTGTTGGGTGCAAAAATGTTCTCCAGTTGGTGGGTTTCTCTTTGTTTTTGTTATTGTCTCTTTTGCTGTGCAGAAGCTCTTTAATTTGATGTAGTCCCAGCTGTTTATCTTTCTCTTCACTATCACTGCTTTGGGTGATGTGTCTGTAAAGATGTCTTTGATGTGCAAATCCCGTAGTGTTTCGCCTATATTTCCTTCTATGTATTTTATGGTTTCAGGTCTTATGTCTAGTTCTTTAATCCATTTGAGTTGATTTTTGTGTATGGTGTGAGGTAGTGGTCAAGCTTCATTCTTTTGCATGTAGCGACCCAGTTTTCCCAGCACCATTTATTGAACAAACTTTCTTTGCTCCAATGCATAGTCTTTGCTCCTTTGTCAAAGATTAGTTGACCATAAATCTGTGGGTTTATTTCTGGATTTTCTATTCGATTCCATTGGTCTGTATGTCTGTTCTTGTTCCAATACCATGCAGTTTTGATGATTATGGCTTTGTAGTATAGTTTGAAGTCTGGGAGTGTGATGCCTCCATTTCCTTCTTTTTTTTTTCAGTAGAGCTTTGGCTATTCGGGGTTTTTGGTGATTCCATATGAATTTCATCAATAATTGTTCTATTTCTTTGAAGAATGCCATTGAGATTTTGATTGGAATAGCATTGAATCTGTATATTGCTTTTGGTAGGATGGCCATTTTAATAATGTTTATTCTTCCAATCCATGAGCAGGGGATGTCTTTCCATTTCTTTGTGTCTTCTTCTATTTCTTTTAACAGTGTTTTATAGTTTTCTTTGTATAGGTCCTTTACCTCTTTTGTTAGATTTATTCCCAAATATTTGATTTTTTTTGTTTCGATAATAAAGGGGTGGTTTTTTTGATTTCTTCTTCTTCAGATTTATTGTTTGTGTATAGGAAGGCTACTGACTTTTGCGTGTTGATTTGTATCCTGCCACTTTACTGAATTGATTGATGAGTTGAATTAGTTTTTCTGTGGAGTTTTTGGGTTCTCTATGTATATTATCATATCATCTGCAAATAGTGATAGTTTGACTTCTTCTTTTCCTATTTGGATTCCTTGGATGTCTTTCTCTTGTCTTATTGCTCTGGCTAGGACTTCCAGTATTATATTGAAAAGCAGTGGTGAGAGTGGACATCCTTGTCTTGTTCCAGATCTTAATGGAATTGCTTTCAGCTTTTCACCATTGAGAATGATACTGGCTGTTGGCTTGTC